TATTGTTTATTTATTTATTGTTTATTTATTTGTTATTTATTTATTTGTCACAAACAGATAGATAATAATACCCCTTTAACTCACTTCAGACGGGTCACACAACAGTTGCGTGACCCCCACCATGACGCTCGCGACGGGTCTCACAAGCCCTGCGTGACCAACTTTGGAATCTTTGTTTCGCTCTACAAATCACGCACGGATCGCGAGACCCGCCTCGTACCCTTGTTTGGCCAAGCCTGAGCTACTTAGACTTCGTTTCGTATCTCTGGGGCCGGTAGTTTTTAAGTTATTGAAGGTAAAGGACAGTGACCCCAACTGGGGTTGAACAGACCGGAACTCGCGCTTTGTTTTTTTCTATACAGCTCATAGTAATCCGACAGTCGCGTCGTAGTAACGGTCGAAGAAGTCGCATGAACAAGAATCACATAATTTCGCCGTTTTCTATACTTCTGTGCGTTTTACTAGTTCTAGTGTCTCAGAATATGATGTGTCTAATAGTTAGGATCCTGGATATGTACCCGAACACGGCCTGAGTCGTAGTTCTAGGGCTAGATCTAGCACTAGTACCGGCGTTGTTTTTCGCGCAACGAAATCACAACGTCGTGCCGTACATCTGTCTCATGTAATTCAGTGTATGGGTCTGAATCAATGCACAGACCAGCTTTTATATTTTCACCAAACACTTGCACATGTATACAAATCAAACCAGAACACTTTGAACTTTTATTTTTGTTGTTGCAGTGAATTTCATTCTACTTGTCACGTCTCTGGACATTTTTCGAAAATCAAATTCATGCCAATTTTTAAAAAATCATACAAATTAAAGTATTAGACTTAGACAACTTTAGTTTTTTGTATTAGATTAAGCTTGAATGTTACTTAACTGTGTCAAAAAATGATTACAATAGGGTAATTTTGAGAGTTGTGGTGATTTATTGAAATACCCCCCAAAACGCCAGTCTTCAACGCTTGTGACTGGTGAAAGGGCCCAGTCGCAAGTTAGTTAAGCAAAGGAAAGAAATAAGTGTCCGTGTCTGTGTTTTAAGTTTTTTAAGAGTAGCTCCACAAGGGATCGACATTATTTTTGTTTTTACAGAAGTGCTGACAATGAATGAATAAACCATGTATGTCTTCTCCGGTCTTTTTGGGTCTTTTCGGGTCTTTTGGGTCTTCTTGGGTCTTCTCGGTATAAATAAGTGCCGCTATTGAACATAAATATTTTTCATTACATATTTTCCCTCTTGTTTCTTCTTTGCTACAATGCTTCGTACTCATTTTCCGACATTTCTTGTGGGTAGTTGGCTATTGGTGTCAGTGGTGAAGTTGGCTCCTCCTCATCATCATCATCATCATCATCATCATCATCATCATCATCATTATCATCAATGCCTTTCACCCCTGGCAGGGTATAGGCCACATACAAGCTCCTTCCATATATCTCTGTCCTGAGCCGTCCTTCCAAGCTCGTTCCAAGTGAGCTTCATTTCTCTCATGTCCCTTTCCACGCATCTCCTCCATGTTTCCCGTGGCCTACCCCTGCCTCGTGTTCCCTGTGGGTTCCACTGCAGCGACTGTCTTGTGATGTTTCCGCTGGGCTTTCTTAAGGTGTGTCCCATCCATCGCCACTTTCTTAGTCCTATTTCTACTTTTATATCCTTTTGTCCTGTCCTTTCCCACAGCTCTTCATTTCTTATTCTATCCTGCCACTTAATTATTAGAATACTCCTCATACATCTGTTGATGAAAGTCTGGACCTTATTCAGTACTGTCTTCGTTGTTTTCCAAGTTTGAAGTTTGCTCCTCCTTTCCTATCAAATGTCTACTATCCTTATCTCTTCTCTCCTTCTTTTCGTTGTATGTTACTCTCTTGCTCTAGTAACGCCTCTTATCTTCGGCACTTATACGACCTATCTGTATTGCAATTGCCATAAAACTCTTACTACAACAATGTACTAAAAACTTTAAACATTTTTTTGTTTTCTCAAACCACCAGGGCTCCATTTTTGACGGTTTACTGTCATTTTCTCTTACAAACACCCCAAGCATTCGACATTACGATTGACTATCATTTTCTCTATCCATCGGGATTCAATATATTATGATGACTCATTTTTTTCTCCAATCACCAGGATTCAATACATGACGGTATATTGTCATTTTCTCTCTAACCACCAGGATTCAATATATGACTGTTTACTGTCATTTTCTCTCTAACCACCAGGATTCAATATATGACTGTTTACTGTCATTTTCTCTCTAACCACCAGGATTCAATATATGACTGTTTAGTGTCATTTTCTCTCTAACCACCATGATTCAATATATGACTGTTTACTGTCATTTTCTCTCTAACCACCATGATTCAATATATGACAGTTTACTGTCATTTTCTCTCTAACCACCATGATTCAATATATGACAGTTTACTGTCATTTTTTCTCTAACCACCAGGATTCAATATATGACTGTTTACTGTCATTTTCTCTCTAACCACCAGGATTCAATATATGACTGTTTACTGTCATTTTCTCTCTAACCACCAGGATTCAATATATGACTGTTTACTGTCATTTTCTCTCTATCCACCATGATTCAATATATGACAGTTTACTGTCATTTTATCTATCCACCAAGATATCAACATGTGAGAGTTTGCTGTCATTTTCCCTAACTTACTAGGATTCAATATTTGAAGGCTTATTGTCGTTTTCTCTATCCACCAGGATTCAATATACGACGGCTTGCTGCGGTATTTCCCGGACACTTTTGACGCCAGCACGGTGTCGTGTGCCGACTCTGGAAAGCTGGAGGTCCTGTCCCAGATTCTCTCGTCCGTGTGGAAACATTCGTCCAGCGAGAAGGTGGTTCTCGTGTCCAACCACACTAAGGTGAGTCGTGGTTGGTCAGATTGTAGCTTTCGTTCGAATTTTAGAAATAATGCACAGTGAAATATTGCAAGGCATGCTGACAAAATGAGTTACTTTTATTCGATCTGCAAATGTAGCTAATGTCAGCTGAAAATTGACACGGGGGTCAAATTTGTTTATTGTCAACTGCTGCCATTTTCTTTAACACTTTGCCGCCTCATCTCGCCGATGTTTACCACCCAGTTTCTTTGGATTTTCCCCAAAATACGATGGCAAAGTGTTAAGTGTGACGGGTCTTTTATCATTTTATATTGATTAATTGTACAAACTAAACCAATAAATTTCACATAGTTATATCCACAGGGCCAAGATCTGAGAAGTGTCTCATTTTGTCAGCACGCCTCACATTTGTCCACTCTGGCTACCCAATGTGGAGGAAAAAGGTGGCCATCTTGGACAGGTGCACGTCTTACAGTGTCATTAGAATGGAAAAAAGCCACTCCAAAAGGATACTAGTCTCATGCTTATTGTTTGTGGTGCATAGTTTTCTATGCCTTTGAAAGAATATTTTTTGGAAGCTTAAAAAATTGAAAATTCCTCTCAAAGCATCATGCACAGTTGAAATTGTCCGAGAGAGCCATACCCTTTTTGAGGGGAAAAGTGGTTGTCTTTGGTAGGTGGGTGTCTTGGACAGTGTCATTATAATGTTTTTTAACCCTACCCGTACGTCGTGTTTTACTATCGTATCCATACGACGTGGGGAACTCTGTGCCACCACTTTCCAAAGAGGAAATTTACTTGTTACCCGATCTGTACGCTTTGCATAGCAATCTGTCAAAATGATTTTTTTGAGAAATATTGAAAGTTTCGAAGAGATCTGCGTATTAGAAGTATTCTAAAATGTGAAGAATACAACCCCGGGGGTACAAAATTACCCCAGGTGTACGCATAGGTTAAAACGTGATGGGGGCTTCAGGGGGGGGGAGATCATTTGGACAAGTGGCAGTTGGAGCAGGTTTGGCCGTATTATGACTTTTTATGGTATGCACAAAGAAAACAACAAATCCTGATATGCTCAAGCGATTGCTCAAGACTCATTTGTTTAAGTCTTCGTTGTACAAATGAAATGTTTAGTTTGGGTTTGTTCCTTCCCGTCCCCAGACGCTGGACTTCCTGCAGGTGTTCTGTGACTTTGAGGGCTACACGTATCTCCGTCTGGATGGACAGACGCCGACGGCGCAGAGACAAGACCTGGTCAACAGATTCAACAACAAGTTCTCGCCCCAGCGTCAGTAACAGTCTCGTACACGGGGGATATTTTTACGTTATCTTGCCAAATGCTTCAGCTTTTCCAACTCTCTTTTGTGAACAGTGGAGTCCGCTTAAACCGAACACAGTTCTCCCGAAAACAATCGTAAACTGAGAAAATAAAATTCCCAGTTTTATTTTCTTCCTCCCCTAAACTGAAAAGAATCAGGGTGTCTTCAAATAAAAGGGATATTTTTGATGCACTGTATAAATGGAATTATTATTATTAATATTATCCTTGAAATCAGGAATAATTTTTGCTGCGCTAAAATTATAAATGCATTTTTAGTAGTAGTAGTAGTAGTAGTAGTAGCAGCATTCTCCAAATCAGTATTATTTTTACTGCGGTCCAATTATTATTATTAATATTATTCTCCAAATCTGTATATTTGTGCTGGGTATACAGATGCAATTATTATATCATTATCATTATTATATTCAAAATCAGAGATATTTATTTTTTCAGTACCATATAATTGCAATTATTTTTCTGATTCTCCGCATCAGGGATATTTTTGCTGAGTTCCAAAGCTGGTGGTGTTGGGCTGAACCTGATTGGAGCGTCCAGGCTGATCCTCTATGACATAGACTGGAACCCTGCCAACGACCTACAGGTGGGGAGGGGAAGGGGGGGGGGGGGGGTGTAGCTTATGACTTTACAATGCTGCACTTCTTACACCATGAGGCTTTTTTTGGTTCATTTTGTTATTTTGTTTGTTGGGGTTTATTTGGGGGTTTTTTGGGTTATTGTTGTTGGGGTTGTTTTTTTTTGGGGGGGGGGGTAAAGTTTTAAAACATTTTTAATGTATGTGTTTTTATACACCATCGACACAATTTAGGTCATGGGTGTTCCTTAGATCATTTAGGATGCGGAATTCCGACCCTGCCTGTCAGCCAACCCGGGCTAAGAGGGATACATCATCCCAACAGAAAGACTGTAATTGTGAATCTCAATTAAAAATTTCCCTCCCCTCTGGGGAATGGAACTCGGGCCTCCTGCGTGTGACAGAGAAGTGCCTAACTGCTACACCACAGACACTGGTACTCCCTGATGCCAAAAACCTGGCTAAACCAAAGAAAATCTAGCGGGCCTGCAGTATTCGGCGTAAGCAGAATCCACTGTTAATTTTTTCTGACTAGTGTGTTTGGACTTCCAAAACGGCTTTGTCAAAGTGAGGAAAATGTTTTGGTAGGTAGGGAAAGAGTTCACCATGATTGAGACCTTCAGTAATTTGTGACTCCGACTGTTTCAATTTTTTTCTTTGTTTCTATTTTTGTCTTTCTTTCTATTTTTATCTTTGTTTCTATTTTTGTGTTTGTTTCTTTCTATTTTTGTCTTTCTTTCTATTTTTATCTTTGTTTCTATTTTTGTGTTTGTTTCTTTCTATTTTTGTCTTTCTTTCTATTTTTATCTTTGTTTCTATTTTTGTGTTTGTTTCTTTCTATTTTTGTCTTTCAGGCAATGGCCCGTGTGTGGAGAGATGGACAGACAAGAAAAGTCCACATTTATCGTCTGTTGACCGTGGTCAGTTGACTCAAACTCAGTCCGTAGGGTTTATTTTTGTGTTTTTGAATATTTGGGTTTTTTAAATTATTTTTATTTTGTTTTGTTTTGCTTTGTTTTTCATTAATTGCTCATTTCTATTGCACAAGAGCATGCTCTATGCGCTTTACAAACTTAACAACTTTGTTTTTCATAATAATAATTTCATTTATATTGCGCATATCCGTGCACAAGAGCATGCTCTATGCGCTTTACAAACTTAACAACTTTGTTTTTCATAATAATAATTTCATTTATATTGCGCATATCCGTGCACAAGAGCATGCTCTATGCGCTTTACAAACTTAACAACTTTGTTTTTCATAATAATAATTTCATTTATATTGCGCATATCCGTGCACAAGAGCATGCTCTATGCGCTTTACAAACTTAACAACTTTGTTTTTCATCCTCTGTTGCCGTTAAGCGTCGAGGCCAGATGCAGTTTTCTATGGTAGGCCAGCTCCACAGCTCTTTCAGTCGTGATATTATGTTTTCTCAGGGTTTCCTCGACACCCCCGATCCACCTTTTGCGTGGCCTTCCTCTTCCTTTATAGTATAGCCTGAGTGCTTGGTGTTGTAGGCTCTCGAGGCTGGCTGGCTGGCCAGGTGACATATCATAAAAATAATAATTCATCCATCATGAATTGATGATGACTGTAAACATCCAAGTAGGAAGAGAAGTTGTAGACCTTGCTAACTACTTGGATTATTTTTTTATTTTTTTTTTTTAATTTATTTTTTTAATTTTTTGTAAATTATTATTATTTATTATTATTATTGTTACAATAGATATATAGCTCCAATTAGATTTCAACTGAAAATTCCCGGTGTAATAGTATAAATTGTTGTCAATGTTTGGGTTTTAATTAGAAAAATTATATTTTAAAATCTGGCTAACATTATGAATATAATTGAAGTTCTGAACAAATAGAGCTTCAAAGTGAAATTCACTAAAGTAATACAAAAATGTAACTTCGCTAAAGTAATACAAAAATGTAACTTCACTAAAGTAATACAAAAATGTAACTTCACTAAAGTAATACAAAAATGTAACTCCACTAAAGTAATACAAAAATGTAACTTCACTAAAGTAATACAAAAATGTAACTTTACTAAAGTAATACAAAAATGTAATTTTACTAAAGTAATACAAAAATGTAACTTTACTAAAGTAATACAAAAATGTAACTTTACTAAAGTAATACAAAAATGTAACTTTACTAAAGTAATACAAAAATGTAACTTCAGTCCGACCTGCTCTAACATGGTCACATGTCTAAAAAAAAAAAAGGTCACTTCTCTCTTACTTCAACAATGCGTGGCTGTCTTGGACAATGCCGAGTGGGTGGTTGGCGGGTGCTCTGGTGTGGTTTGCTTCTTCTTTCCTATCTAACATCTATCGTCCTTATCTCGCCTTCTACTTTTTTATGTTTGCTACTCTCTTGTAACACCTCTAATCTTCCGGCTTTCTTATGACCTCATTGTATTGCCAGTGCCGTAAAACTTACTAAAACTAATGACAATTCCGACCGCGTGTGTAAGTGGCGTGAATTGACTGGCTGTTTTACCGTGACCGGTTTCTTGTCTAAGAAAACGGTCACTTCTCTCTTCAACAATGGGTGGGTGTCTTCAACAATTCTGACTGCGTGAAAGTGGAAGTGGCCGAGTGCGTGTAAGTGGCGTGAATTAACTGGCTGTTTTACCGTGACCGGTTTCTTGTCCTGCCCCAGGGAACCATTGAGGAGAAGATCTACCAGAGGCAGGTGACCAAACAGGGCCTGAGTGAGACCGTCATGGAGCTCTGCGGCAAGAATAACAATGTCATGTTTTCGCTGGAAGATTTGAAGGTAAAATGTCATGTTTTCTCTTGAAAATTTGAATGTATAATGTCAATGTCACGTTTTCACAGGAAGATTTGTAAATAAAAATGTCGTATTTTGTTTGGAAGCTTTGAATTATATTGTGATGTTTTCACTGAAAGATTTGAAGGTAAAAATGTCATTTTTTTTTGGGAAGATTAAAAATTAAAATGTCATGTTTTTGCTGGGAGATTTGAAGGTATAATGTCATGTTTTTTGTTTGGAAGATTTGATGTTTCCTTTGACATTTTGAAGATATGCTGGAAAATTTGAAGGTGTGCTTGAAGATCTGAATGCTCACCAATACTGTATAATGAAAGGAAAATAGTTTAAAACGCCATTGTAAAAGGCACAAATAATTTTAAAAAGTAAAGAAGTAATTGAGAAAAAAAAATGAAGAGAAAATTGGGATGGACATCTCGATTTGAGGAATTTATGTTTTTGAGCTACGTAACACGTTTTCCAATTTGTTTTGTTCCTGATAGTCACAAAAAAAATTGTAATAATATACGGATGACAGGCTAGACAGAATCGCTTAAAGTTTCTTGTGCAAAGTTTTTCAACCTTTTTGTAATTTCTTTTTTCCATTCAGTATTTTGCAGTGGCTTCAACATTTTGTTCTCAAGTTGAGTCAATTGTATTAAAATTGTTTCTTATGTTGTGATTCACCTGTGGATTGGAGTTGGACATACAGTCAAGAAGTCAGGCAGCTGCATAACAAAGAAAGTATTGGATTGGAATCAACAGGGTAAAAGATCAAGGGGAAGACCGCATGGAACTTGGAGAAGAATCACAGAAACTGATGTACAGAAAATTGGGAAGACATGGAATAACATCAAGAGGCTAGCCCAGGATAGAGAAAGATGGAAAATGTTTGTTCGTGGCCTATACCCTGGTGCAGGGTGAGAAAGGCAATGATGATGATGAAGCAATACTTGTGTCCTTATCTTGTGTTTTCAGGATTTGTTCTCTCTGAACGAGAAGACAGACTGCGAGACTCATTCCATGCTGTCGTGTGGCTGTGGGGGCGACCCGAGTTACGAGAGGGCGGAGGTCAGGCCGGAGGAGGGTCAGGGAGAGGACAGAGCGTGCCAGCTGACCAACAACGCTGTCAGTCTCCAGAAGGTACTTCTGTCCAACCTGCCTCTGTGGTCGCCTCTGGGTAGTGATCATATCTCTATAGTGATCATATCTCCATAGTGATCATCTCTCCATAGTGATCATATCTCCATAGTGATCATCTCTCCATAGTGATCATCTCTCCATAGTGATCATATCTCCATAGTGATCATCTCTCCATAGTGATCATATCTCCATAGTCTGTCCCCGTGGTTTTATGCACCCGGCATAACGTAGCAAAATTTGATCATTTTTTGCATAATTTCTTATCATTTTTCCATTATCATTCTTTGATTTTTTAAAAACAACAACCCCAGAATCACACAATTTCACGTTTTTGGGCTCAGTTTGGATAATTTCATAATTTTTCTTGCATAAAACGATGGGGGCAGCTTAGTGGTCATCTGTAATAAAAAAAAAATGTTTAAATAATAGATAGCATTGGCATAACGTAAATTCCTGCTCTATGCGCTTTACAATTTGTATCATTACCCCAGCAGACCTGATAGTATTCTGAAACAATCTCAACTTCCTGGAAAGCATACAGTGCAAGAAACCATCTTACAGGTGCTAAAACACAAACATACTGACAAAATCTTTCACTGTTTATGGCCAGATACCCATTCCCACTCTAATCTTCACTATCTTTATTCTTCTCTAGTTTGAGAAGGAACTAATTTTGTGGGTGGTTGGCGGGTGCTCTGGTGTGGTTTGCTCCTTCTTCCATATCAAACTTCTATCATCCTTTTCTCTCCTCCTCCTTTTATTTGTTTGTCTCTGTTACTGTCTAGTAACAGTAACACATCAAATCTTTGACTCTCATATTATGACCTATTTTGCTTTCCAAGAGCAGTAAAACACTTACTTTTACTAAAACAGACCAAAAAAATCTCTGATCTTCTTCTTCAATCTGAGAAGTAACTATGTTGTCAGCACACCTCACATAACAGAGACAGAGGGAGAGGGAGAATGTTTTACGCAGAGGGTTGTCCCAGCATGTGAGACATGTACATTTAACTAATGTCCTGTCTTGTTGTGCGTATGCGTGAGTGCACCTGACCTTTGTAACGTCTACTGCCATTGTTAACCTGTCCCTGTGGTTTTATGCATCCCGCATAATTTAGCAAAATTTGAACAGTTTTGCATAATTTCTGATTATTTTCCTGTATCATTCTTTGTTAAAATTAACAGAATCGCATAATTTCACATTTTTGGGCTCAGTTTGCATAATTTCAGAATTTTTCTTGCATAAAACAACGGGGACAGGTTAACGACCAAGACAAATTTCTCCCTGCGAGATGAATAAAGATTGTCATTGTCATAATGTGTCTGTTTGGTTGACCGTCCCCAGAACCCCAGCAATCTGACCATGGCAGAACTGCTTCATTGGAGCCACTGGAGGGGAGACTTTGTCCGGGATGGCAAGGTAATAATAATAATGAGTCTACATAACAAGAGGGTTCTCTCCTCTCTTTGAGCCAATTAAAAAGTGTCCTCAAAATTAGAAGGCGCCCTCTTCGCAAATGCGCACCCGTTGCGAACAGAGTTGCCCTACTTGTGTGAAAAAAATCAAAGTGAAACTAACAAGTCTTTGAATAAATAGGAACCCTTTTTTAAAATGGTTGCGATGACAAAAAAACCTCTTCCAGAGGTTAACAGAAGACATAATAATCATGTAGTTTTTGTATCTTATTTCAGTAAGATTTTTTTAATGCACAAAGATCATGTCTTCCATCATACTAGATGGTTTCTGCTAATAAAGCATGAGTGAAATTTCTATTACTATTTGTTATTTCCTCTCAATATTTTACTCACTGCAATAGTTAAATGCTAGATATATATTAATATTATGAAAATTTTTAAGGACAAGCGGGCTGACCCAGATTTCGGGGGTTTCCAGAAACCTTGACCTACACCAAAGGTGGGCATTGCCCTACCTATAGGAGAAGTTTGGTTTCATTGGTGTGTATATATTTGGTTTTGAGAAAACTTGATTTTCAAAGAAACTGAACAAGGGGAAAAAACTTTACCCTCAATTTTCTCAAAACAGCATTTCTCGGGATAGCCCCCTTGTGCTTAAAAGCGACCAAATATGCATCCATTATATTAAATGTTCACATATAATGAGTCTTTCAAAGGTTTTTACTTTAAAATTTCTCTTTTTGTTTGTTTTTCAGTCTTGGTACCTTGACGAGACGGGATCAACAGTGTCTTTTGTCTTCTGGCACGAGATCAACAATGCTTCATGATAGCCTGTTCACATCCCAGCTGCCAGACTTTACTGTACTGTTCATACACACTTTTGTTCTTTTATTCCATCAACTTTGTTTGAGCTTATCATAAACCATTGTGTCATTATCATTATTGTACAATAATTAATAATGTATAAAAGAAGGAAAAAAATGATGAAAATAGTCCACATTGTTGAAAAACGTTGCAATAAATTTTTAAAAGAGTAGACCTTTTGTAAATGAATTAATTTGAAATCAAAGTCTTTGAAGTCCTGAATGTTCAAAGTGACCTTTTCCTTTTATTTATTTTTTAAAAAGAAAGTTTTAAAATTATGTATGCCAGTTTGTATTCTGCCGAGATCAACAAATCTATGGAATCTGCTCTCGATTCTAATGCCAATGCTATACAGACCTGTCATCATCAGATTCTGCTGAAAGTGCAAGTAGCGAGTAGAGTCATGTTGAAGACCTGATGTCACAGACCGGTTTTGGAACTCTTGTGTTACTAACGGTGTTTGTTAATGCTCCAATCGACTCGATTTCGGTCATTTAGGAGGCGGGCTTCCGACCCTGCCTGTCGTGGCCAACCTGGGCTGTGAGGGATACAACATCCCAGCAGAAAACTGAGAAACTCAATAAAATTGTTCTCCCCACTCAGGAATCGAAATCGGGCCTCTTGCATGCGTCAGCAAAGCACCCAACCGCTACACCACAGACACCATGAAAAATAGGTGCAGCGAGAGGCAATGTTTGACAAAACAGAAAGTTACGCATTTTCAGGACATACCAGGCTCATCATAATATTCATAAGGCAATGAAGGGGTTAAGAACTCTGAAAAAAAAAATCTTTTTCATGTTGTTATTCGTGCCTGACATTCCTTAACCCTCTCCGTACGTGTTTTACTATCGTATCCATACGACGTGGGGAACTCTGAGCCACCACTTTCCAAAGAGGAAATTTACTCGTTAATCCGATCCATACGCTTTGCATAGCAGTTTGTCAAAATGATTTTTTGAGAAATATTGAAAGTGTCAAAGAGATCTTCGCACTAGAAGTATTTTAATGTGAAGAATACAACCGCAGGGGTCCAAAATTACCCCAGGGTGTACGGATACGGTTAACAAATGAGTGTTTTATATGATGTGATGTCATGTGGGTCAATGGCCTTGCCGTAAACACAGAATAAACTTACGAATTTTACCTTCTGACATGCACATTTTTTTTTTCTGATTGAATTCCAATAAATTAATTAAATAAAAGACCCTGAAAAAAAAAAAAGATTTCAAACAAGTTGTTAATTTCATTCATTCTTTTATTTCAACTTTTACAGTCATGTTCACATTCATTATGTACATATTTTGCATCTCGTTTCTTCCTGTTCTGCAAAGACCGGTACGGCACGGTACTTAAAGCAATTTTGTTGCACGTGTTCCTGATACAAACATTCTTCTTGTCTAAAGCACCAAAACACCAACTGCATTAGGGGGGGGGGGGCATCCAAAAATAGCATAAATTAGTTGCAAAACATAATAATACACTGCTCATTGTCAAGGACAAGACAATACAACTAACCAGCAGACAAAACAAAAAAAATGGGGAAAAAAATAATTTTGTTTTAAATTTGCAAACTCGAACCAAAAGTGTACATCAACAAGAAATATTTCTACAAATGTTACTGAAAAGTGTTCACTAAGTGCAGGTGATAAAATATACCGCGTAAATAACGAAGCTTTGGCCAAGCAATCCAATAGTAACGTAATAATAATAATAATAATAGATAACATAAAAGACATTGCAAAAATAGTTTGTCGCATTTATACACATTGCTGTTTCTTCCGTCTTTACGGCGTTCAGAGAGAGAAAGGGAGAGAGAGAGACGTCCTAGGAAAGCAAAACTCTCATTCCAGGACAGTGTGCCAAAGTTCTTGAGATTACTTTTCACTTTTTCCATGACTTACATTGCAAAAAGAGGGATTTTCTCCCCAAAATTTTAAAATAAAGTATTCATATATTTAACCCAACTCGTACGGTAGCCAACTTCATAAAAATATGTATAGCCTATATATATGTCAAAGAAAAAAATTCAGAGGACTTTCAGCGCCAAATTTTTCACATGTTTAGTTTCGTATTATATTAGTAAAACAGTTTCACGGCGCTGGCAACTGCATGAGATTTTTTTTTCAACATTTCTCGGCTGATGGTAGACTAGCAAAAACTTTTCACAAAACACAAACAAAACATAGTTTGGACACGATGCTGTAAACCGGGTGACAGTAACAAAAAACAAACAAACACACAAACTGAAACAGCTAGCTGTGCACATTGCGTGAGGACTTTTCCCCAACTGCTGTGAAATATTCAAACAAACAAGAAGAATGATAAAATTATCAGCTCCATTCACTTGAAAAGCACACCAAAAAAAAAAAAAGAGGGGGTACACGATGAGAAGAAAGTGAGGTCATGAGTTTTGTCAATTGTGAGGCAGACTGGTGAAGTCAGGCGCTCGTCAAAATAATCCAAGTGAAGAAAAACTGGCATTTTTCAGCGGGTTTCTGAATTTTTATTGAATTTTTTTTTTCACTCAACGCCTTTTATGCCCGTTAAAGAACATATTTCTGTGTGGATTTTTACTGAAAAACGATTAAAGGCACAAAAAAATGTATATTCTCAGTCTCCATCGACTCTCCAGCTAAGGAAATAATCTATCTTTGGCAGCAATTGTCTCCCTAATGTTACAGGTGACACCCTCCTCCAAATCTTTCATTCGCAAATATCTCAACTTGTAGTATTCAAGATAAGTGGAATTTTTTTCATTCAAAACAAGACAAATGACCAAGCTTTAAGAAGATACCAATAACTCTACATGCCCCAAAAATTGACGAGCGCCTGATTCCACCGCGTCGTGACACAATTCGTTTTAAATTGAAACTTATCCCTGCGTGACACTCCCGTCAAAACTACACCAAACGAGCAAGAAGAGGTCAACACGGTTATTCTTTGTTGTAGTATCTTTGATCCCTTTCCACCCCAGCCACCTGAGCCTATGCAATCCTATAACCCAAGCTTCTGACGGGGAGAAAGAAAAAACCAAAAAAAACTCAACCACGACTTGCACCACTTTACGATGAGGAAAGCACACTGCGCGGAAGGGCAAAGGTAGCTTATAGTGCTTTGATGCTAGTGCTTGGGCCTGCGGAGTTAATGTAAATAAAATTTTATCCTGGGGGGGGGGGGGGGGGATATTCCTGGACATTGGCTGAAGAAAGTTACGCCCAAAAAAAAAAAAAAAAAAAAAAAAAATAGAAGGAGAGAAAAAACCAGCCTCACCATGTAATGTACGTAACACTCCCAAACCGCCCTCATCCTCTCCTTCCAAAAGGTGGTCCCTACCAAAAAAATCTGCATACAATATTTGTCAACCACAGACAACTGGGGAAGGATGTAGTGGCGTTTTTACTCAAATTAAATGTGAACACTGAAGCTTCGAGCGAGTCAATGAAATTCAGACGGTTCAACGTGTAAACTGACACACAGCCACATGCTCGGGAGGGGCAGGGGGGGTGGATGACAACAGTGGCGGACCTGCCAAGTACTCTCATAAAACCGGAGTTCTCCCATATTTTCTTGGGACTGTCAGAGAATTCTGATCCAATCTGCATAAATTCTGATGTTTTTTCTCGAATTCATTTGTCGTCAGGTTGTGTGCGACTTATCATAAATGATGTGAGAATGTATTATATTTTTATTTGAACTATTTGTGTGACTTATCATATATGACACGATAATACACATTTTTACTTGCGTTTAGTTGTGTGTAATTATCAATTTCACACTTTTATTTCCCACTGTCGGTTTGTCTTAATTCAATCTTAATTTACAACAGAGTTCTAGTGACTTTCCCACCCCCATGCAAACTCTTAGATTTTGAGAGAATTTTGAGGAAATCTATTTTCGTTCATGGAGTGGGTGGTTGGCAGTTCGGCAGTAGGGGGGGACGAGGTGGAACGTGGAATCTGATATTCCATGCATCAAACGAACAACACGCGCAGAGTAAACAAAGAACATTTACACAAGCTGTCCAGATGTCCGATCAACTTTTCCAAAGCACTCAAAGCTGGAGTTCTACATCAACAACAATTAAAAACGATAAAAAGGGACCAAATAAATCCAAACATGTCCCAAACTATTTGAACATTTTTAACTCTTCAATTACAGGAAATACAAAATAATAAACAAAATAATTCTTCGCTTATATTGCTTTCAACGACCAGAGCGGTAGTGATAAACCGTTTGACAGGGCCACTTACACAAACACGGATCACCGACAACTAAGGGCCACGATTAGAACAATTCTTGCCTCTCTTAGACTTTTCAAAGACGAGGTTAATTAAAGTAACAAATCAAATAATCAAATATTTCTGCATCTACAATGGATCACTATAAAAACAATGCCTCTCTAACCATCTACTTTCAAATCAAAGACGAGGCTAAAATAAAAATCGAATTCTCAGATAATCGGAATTTTTAAAGATGACACTTAAAAAGGTCAAAGACTGAGAAAATTTCTTCTTTTTTTTTTCCAATTAATAAATCCCGGTGTAAAATTCTATTATAACACAATGATTATTCAATGTTGCTTTATCTTCCAAATGATTCCATGAAAATCGCAAACCTGCAGGCTGTACTGTAGGAGGACATTTCTGAGGTACTCGCGACATCAGACAAAAAAATTCATAAAGTTACACCCGCAACAAGAAAAAAAATTACCTCCCATTCCATGCCTAAATATAAGAGATCGTCGTCATCATTATCATCACCATCCATTATCGCATTACATAACTACTCTAAATTTTGGAACACCAGTACAACAAAAATACGTAAGATGAATGACCTCTATGTGTGAATTTCGTAAACGCAGGAAGGAAACGGTACGCTACTGACCTGATCAGCAGCTCTTCCTCCTACCCAGGATGAATGAACTAGATCAGGGCGACAAGATGAACCTGCACTCGCTCTCTCTCTCCCCATTACAAGCGAGAGCCTGACTTTTACAAATGTTTTGTTAATGTGAACCAAGAAGGGCTGTGAACAAAAATATTCCAAGACCACTCTAAACCGGATAAGATTTTAAGTCTCAACTGCAGTCACTGCGCATATTTGTTGGTCCAGTCTTTTGCCAGTTTGATGTACTTTTCCCGGTCGGCCTTGTAAATGCGGGCAATCTCCGGCACCAGTGGATCGTCAGGGTTTGGGTCAGTTAACAGCGAGCAAATGGAGAGGAGCACTGAAAATGAGAGAAAAAGACCCAAAAAAAGTTAAATCTGGCAGAATATCAAAAGATCAACTCGCAACAGGCCTCTAGGATCCCCCCCCCCAAAAAATTGGAAGGAAGTAAACCAAAAATAAATTTCATGATGTTATACAAAACTAAACATGTCCCCGTCGTTTTATAATGCAAGAACAATTTTGAAATTATGCAAACTGAGCCCAAAAATGTGAAATTATGCGATTCTGTTAATTTTAACAAAGAATGATAAAGGAAAGTAATCGGAAATTATGCAAAAAATGATCACATTTTGCTAAATTATGCGGGGCGCAAAAAACCACGGGGACAGCTAAACACAACGCTCATCTGTCAGAATTTCTTTCCCATACAAACATTTCTAGGAAATCAATCTCAAAACTGCAAGGGATCATTATAAAATAATTCACTTTTTTACCCATATTATGTCTACTTTCATATGAACCATAACAACGGTAATCCAAAGAGAACGTGGTGCTCTGTCTCCAAATCTAGGGCACATCCGGAGAGAGCAATCCTAAACTTTCTTGGTGACAAAAATACAATAAGCAATTTTCTGAGGCCGTGTTTAAAAAAACCACAAGACCATCATTAAATTTGAAACAATTTATCGTTCGAGATGATGTGGTTTCTATGGCCATTTATGCTAGAATTTTAAGAAGGCCAAAACTAGAATTATTCAAATAAATCAGTCGGGGTATGCGTCTTTAAGTGTGTGTGAGTGTGTTTTGCATCTCTTTCTCCTGCACTAAAATATAGGACAATGCCATGAATCTGAATAGGCACATCCGAAGAGACCAATCCAAAATGTTCTTGGTCTAAATTCTGTGAAACCCTTTGGGGGCCTGAGGTCCAGAGGTTCTCTTTTAATTTTCTTCAAATAACGACTCTAATTGATATTGACCAAACCTCAAGTATTCACAGAACACAGCACAAGAAATAAAAGTTCAGTCACCAAAAGTAATAGCATGGCCACCAAGAAACTACACTAAAGGCACACTGTTCAAATATAATAAGATCAGAAAGCAAAATTTTTCAGGAGAGAGAAAAAAAAAGTTTCATTCTTTTTACAATTGTACTTGTACCTTTACATTATGCTTTTTTCTTGCTTTTTGCTCCAAGGAAAGGGTTAATCCCTCCCAGCCCGACTCGGCCCATTGACAGAAATATGCAATGTTTGACCCATGATAAGAGATATGTACACAACATGTACTTATTCATTATGGAAACTTTACTTATCAAATGAGTGTTTTGTGTGATATGATGTGGGCCAATGCCTTAAACACTGAATTCTTGATTTTTGCAACATTCATGATTTGAACTTCAACAAACTTTTCTTGAGCAGATGCAACCAATACCACAGATTAAGAAAGAGGAATTTTTTTTAATGTCTAAAGTTTGACTTTATATGCCTTACGTCTGATCAGCTGGCCGAACCTATGGCATTATCGATCAACAATTTATCTGTACTATCACACATTCATTTATACGCAGAAATATATTACAACAGGCAAGTCGGGCAAAATCCAATTCCAGACATTTCAGAAATCCGGATTTCCGAATCTATCCAGAAAATCGACATCTTTGTAGTATATAATGGCAAAAAAGGGTAACTATTACTATTACATAACCAATGCTGGGAACCATCAAAATCCAAACCGTGGCTGCCTACCTTTGGAGATGGTCAGGGCTGGCGACCACTGTCCTCTGAGTATATCCAAGCAGATGCTGCCGTTGCTGTTGATGTTCGGGTGGTAGATTCTTGTCGTGAAGGCAACCTGCCGAGACCAACGCAAAAGTTGTTTGTCAATGTTTGTGGGTCACCCTTAGCACCGAGCAAAATACTGGCGAACCTGCTTTTCAACAGCCACCTGTCCAAGACAATCACCTGTACAAAAGGCCATTCCCTATTTCCAACTTGTATTTTTTTCTACACATATAATGAAACTGTTCTGGACATCCACCTGTCGAAGATAACCACTATTCTCTTCAAAAACAGACGGCCATTTAGAACCATTATGACTGTATATCTGTCCTCGTCGTTTTACGCAAGAAAAATTCTGAAATTATGCAAACTTAGCCCCAAAATGTGAAATTATGCCATTCTGTTAATTTTAACAAGGAATGATATAGGAAAATAATAAGAAATTATGCAAAAGATGATTAAATTTCGCTAAATTATTTATGCAGGGTGCATAAAACCACGGGGACAGGTATATCAGATCAGAAGATGGTTTAAAAAAAAGGATAAGGCAGGAAGGGTGTTCAGCAGTTTCACTTGTAATAAAAGAGAAAATATTTTTACAATGTTTCAACGTCGTTCTACTCTGTAAGGTCGTTCTACTCTGTAAGGTTGTTCTACTCTGTAAGGTCGTTCTACTCTGTAAGGTTGTTCTACTCTGTAAGGTTGTTCTACTTCTGCATGTAACACTTTGTACATTTCCTGCCATTATAATAACTATCATTAACATTTTTCTTTGTGGAATGTACCGGTACAACAACTTTCCCCTCGCTGAAATCCTAGACTCCGAAGAACACAGAGGGAATGTTTTCATTATAAGACTTGACCACCAAAACTGGAGGTGGTTGGCTCTTGAAGACGACAATAAATGGAGATCGAAAAAAATTGTTCATTCAACGACAATACGCCAATTTGTACAAAACGGGCCCAAATCAACGCGTGTAACTCCCAAATCAACATTTTCCCCATGCCCTAACTATAGTAATGCTATGAAACCAGAAACTGTCCCCAGGAAAAAAAATTAAGCTATTTGCTCATGCATATTAGCTTAATAATAATAGAATAAAATGGCCAACCGATGAATTTACTTAACGAGCAATCATTCACGGCTCTGTAGCTGAATTTTTTTAATGTGTGTGTGTGGGGGGGGGGGGGAACAAATCAATTTTCTCAAAGTGGGAGCCATACCTTTGGTGGTTTGAAGGGATAGTCTGTCGGGAAGTTGATTGTTAAGAAGAAAACTCCTTGTGCATATGGACTGTCATTCTGAAAAAGAAAAAGGTTATTATAATTATGGGTAACAAACATCAAACCAATCTTATAATTGCATCACAAAAACACGTCACACAATATCACATTACTGCAAAATTGACATCACTGCAAAAAAGGCTAAAAGTGATCACGCGGAGCGTTACGGTGAGCACTCGGATCCATACGAAGGACTGATTTCATCCAAAAGTTTTGACAAATATATAGGTCAACATAATAATAATAATTAATAAATGACATTTATATAGCGCTCAACCCTGATTTAAGTACACAGGCTCTGAGTGCTTTACAATACAACACAACAGTGACCTAAAACTTAGTGACTGACCAACGTTCATATGCAACCCTTTAACACTCAGCTTTTGTTTTACCCTATCCGTACACCCTGGGATCATTTTGTACCCCTGGGATTGTATTCTTCACATTTTAGAATACTTCTAGTACCAAGATCTCTTTGAAACTTTCAGTATATTTCAGAAAATCATTTTGACAGACTGCTATGTAAAGCATACAAATCGGTTTAATGAGTAAATTTCCTCTTTGGAAAGTGGTAGCACAGAGTTCCCCGCATCATATGGATACGATAGTGAAACATGACGTATGGATAGGGTTAAAAAAACCTACTACAGTAACATGCACAGAGAACTTGAAAACAAATATGAAGGCAACACTTCAAAATAATTATGATATAATAATAATATAATACAATACTCACAGGACCGAGTATGGTTGCCTGCCACTGAAATACTGAAACAGACAAAAGTGGGAGCAAAAGTCAGTATGATGAATGAAAATACCACAAAATTAATTTGAACCAGCACAATAAAAGCATCACTTGTAGCTTAATTAAGAGCTCACTGCGGCAACTACATGATGTTTTGGTGTAAAGTAAAAATAACTCTGCATTTTTTCCTGCGTGTACTCTTTTAAATTGAAATCAGCACCAAAAAATTCACACACCATGAATCATTAAATTTGCAACATTCCACGCAGCCACAAAAAGACTTGAGTGACCGTAATCATGATGTAGTGACACTGCTGTGTTTCGCCTACACATAACAACTTAACCTCATAAACCACCTGATATTCTTCAAGAAACCCCAAAAAAGTGGAGAAAAAAAAAAAAGAAAAAAAAAAGAGTACTCTTGATTGCAAGGCATCAGCTTCTTAATTAACTCTTGACATGACCTCTACTAGTTTACTTTACTTTTCCAATCCAGCGGCCATTTCAGTTTGAGATAGCCCTTCCGCCTGTCGATATGGCAAAGAATTTACAGGTTTTTATCAGCTGTGTTTTGTCCTCTACTAGTTTCAATTCCTTACCGCCAATATCTAAAAAAACGGGGTAGTAGCACTCACAAGGATTCAACTTCAAGGACAGATATGTATCACGACGCAGTGAAATCAGGCGCTCTCATCAGTTTGAGGGCATGTGGAGTTCTTGGTATCATCTGAAAGCTAATTCATTTATTTGGCTTTCAATTTTTTTTTTAAACACCCAATTATCTTTAATAGAAGTCAAGATATCTGCGATTGAAGGAGGTGAGGTTGCCTGGTTTCAGTGGTAAAATAAATAAGCGATAAAATGGCCACCCAGGTTCGGTAACTGCGATACCTTGAAAAAACTAAAAAATTACGTATTTTGTGCCTTTAATCAACATGTTTCAGTAAAATTCAAATGGAAATTATAAGTCTTTGTATGGACATAAAAGGAGCAACAACAAAACATTTATTTTTAAATAGCACAAATGGCGGAAAAATGCCTGTTTCACCGATTTTGTTATTTTGACGAGCACCTGATTTTTTTACGACGCCTCACATATTATATTTTTCCAGTTTACACATAATACTTACAGTCATCACCCACAGGACCAGCCGAGCAGTTCGTGGGTGGGTCTTTCCCGAGATCCTGCAGCTCCTGAAGACAAAAAAAAAAAAGGAATAATTTTCAGAAACAGTTCCGGGACACCAGTTTTCATCATTTTTCTACTGATTTTTAGATAATCAAGACTCAGCTGGATTTAGCAAATCACGTTGATTTGTTCAATAGAGATTTTGCTGAAAAGATTTGAACTTATGCGACAGGAACTGGTGTGCAGATTACAGCGCTTTTTGAATTTTGAAAATCAATTAATAAACAACATTTTTAAATTCTTTTTTTCTATCTCTCTGTAAACAAAGTATAAACAGGTCCCTTGATCACAGTTTCAAAATGACCTGAGATAAGGTTTTAAAAATGTGCTAATCTCTACAAATGACATTGAGATCGCGAAATTTTCCCCAAATTTTTAATCAGAGAAGATTAAGTTCTCTTTTACAGACTGCAGGACGAACGAAGCCTTTTTGTGTAGTGTAGTTTGTTCAAAGTACTAATCTCACTCCTTCACCATAGAATCCCTCCCACTGTAGTGTGTACTTTTGTAGCAGCATGCAATTAATAATTTTTTTAAAACAGATTTTAAAAAAGCAAAACCAAACCAGACCCTGTTCTGACTGTTCACAAGTTGACACATTGCTGGGTTTACCTGACAGCATGCCTAAGGGCCTCTATGAAGGAATAACCATGATGGAAACATACTTTTATAAAATGTTCAATGGATACATCATCACAGTAGACCATCTAAAAATCTAGATCAAGAGGTAATGACAGACACCACTTCCCTCTTTGACTCTTTCCTTGCGGTCCCCCCCCCCCCCCAGTATAGCCTACTGCTTTTGCACCTCACAGTGTCCATTTGCAAACCTTGCAGTCTCGAATTAGACCTTGGCTACTCCATTTGCAGCTCAGCTACCTATTGAGTCCAATCTCTTTTGTAAGTGCTTTAAAATTTCTTATAAAAAAGTGCTTACAAAACTTTAAAAGGGACGATCCGGATCGAAACGATCTCAACCATTTGCACTGCGTTGTTGAACGTTGTTTGAACTTGCTTTCGAACACGTAGATATCTAGGCCAAAGAAAATAAATAATCTGAGTCAGCAGGCTGCCGTCGTGTTGCCACCATGACTGACAAAGTGGGAATCCCTCAATGACGTCAAACAAGATGGCTGTTTATAAAAATCGGTCAATGGTGTTTAGTTGTTCATCCTCTAGCTATCCGCCGCTTGTTACACAAGTATTCAACAAGAATACGATTAGTATAGAGGCCTACAACTGTAACCCTAGTCCCTAGCCTAGCCCTAGCCTTGGCTAGCAAGGTATAGACTAGATTCAAGATCTAGCTACACACAGACTAGATCTATGACTATGAGTAAGATTTGTAACTTTCAACAGTAGTAACGCAATCGTGTACTAGATCTACCGATGGAACTCATAACCAGTCATTATACTCATTGGACTGATTCACCCCTAGTGTAACGCAATTCATCATGATCCACTCTAGAATCTAGTAGACGACACCCTCCCCGGCCGTCAAACTCAATTTAGATAAAGTCCCTGTTTTCTTATTCATATTTATACCTATAACGGTTCACCATTAAACCCATTGTGTGTTTTACATTATCCCTTTCTAAATTTACCTTTTTAATTCGCTTTTGTGCCATTTTCTCAGGAAATCTGTAGCAAAATTCTGTCTTGACTAGGTGTGTATTGTGTACCTAGGGCAGGAAGTTTGATTTGATGGCAAGGGTTGCGCCTGCGCTGTTGGAGGACGAGAGACAAGGTCACGTGACTTCCTCTAACCTGAGTGACTTCCAGCGCAGACCATAGATATTTCGAAAGTCATTGACAAAAAAATAAACGCTGCTTCTAGAAGAGGATGCGAAATCGAAATCAGTCAATTTGGCTGTCGTGAAAGGGAAAAAGGCACGTTGTGGTGATTTACACCACATCGACACATCTTTGCCTCTTTCTGAAATACATAATACAATGTATACATTGTACATTAAAACAGGATCTGTTAATGTGAAAAGTATAAAGTAAAAATGCCTGTAGGGGGGCGCGCTCACGCGCGTGTGTATGTATGCCTGTTTTTTTTAGTAGAGGTTATACGGCGCTCGCAACTGAATAAGGTCACATGAGCGCCAATTGCGTGCGTGTGTGTGTGTGTCAGAGTGTATGTTTGTGTGTGCACGTGTGCGTATATAATTATTATGTGTCCATTCGCTCTCCCTTCTCCAGTAGGGCCTACTTATAATGAACCATGACGGGTGCTAATTGCGATACATTCATCCCGGATGCGTAACTTCCTTTCAAATCATGGGAAGATAAGACGTGAGCTGCAGTAGCCTAATGTACAACAACGGAAATCACGCAAATGTGAAGATAGTGATAATAATAATTAGGCCGTTTTTTTATTACCGTTTATATAATTAATTGTCTACTCTTTGCCAATGTGCGTCATCTCCGCCACTTTCCCTCCGTCTGTTCTCTGAAACCATGTAATAGATGGCATGTCGAGAAGAAGAAGAAGAAGAAGAAGAAGAAGAAGAAGAAGAAGAAGAAGAAGAAGAGTAAAAGTAATTATCAACAACAAGAACAACAACCATAACAATTCAACAACAACAATGATGATAATAATACATTGTTCTCCCTCTGCTTTTTGTTGACCAATTACAAATTAATAATCTACTTGTATTGTTGTACTGCCGCAACTATCTTAGCTTACAACGGTTGTGCAAAATGTAATGAAACTTTTAAAAGTTCATCGTGACGATAACACGGTCGGTATGGTTTTGAGTTGATTATTGCTTCTTTTTTTTAATGTGGGGGTTTTTTTTTTGGTAAGTGTTTTACCACGATTGCAACTGCATTATAAAGTCATATGAGCGCACGTTTGTTGATTTGTAACACGTTACGAACACACCCACTATATTATATTATAATGACCTGAATAACACCGTTTTGCGCTATGCCTGTGTTTCTTAAAGTATGTAAGTTATACGTGGGTTTATTTGTTTGTAATTGCTTGTTTTCGTTTTTTGTTTGTTTGTTTTGGCTTTTTTCTTCTTTTTTTGTTGTTGTTGTTGTTGTTGTTGTTGTTGTTGTTGCTGTATTTTTTAGAGGTTCAAGCTTCAGCTGGCTGCTGTTTGTAACATATACTTGTCTTGTGGCCGTCTTGTGGCCGGTGTCTGTCAACTTCTTTTTCTTTCTATTCATCTCTACTACGCAACCTATTCTCTTTTTTTTTAGTAGGCTAAGTGTTTTACGGAAATTGCAACACAATTTTCCAAGGTCGTTTCGTCGGTCTTGATCAATTAGTTGGTTGACTCTATTTTGATCACCATTTAAAAACAAATAAATCTACGTGTGTTTTTACGCCATCATCGACACCGTTTATACCATTCAGGAAGCGGGCTTTCGATCCTGCCTGAGTGTCAATGCCAACCCAGGCTAAGAAAAGAGATACGACATCCAAGGAGAAAGTGTATGTCATACTTACAAAGGTGTCCCAATATTATCGCGGGCTGTTAGTGGACGTGTATACATGTCATACTTACAAAGGTGTCCCAATATTATCGCGGGCTGTTAGTGGACGTGTATACATGTACTGACATGCGGTGCACCATAACCTTTGGCCTTGATGGGAGGCGAGACGGTAACCGGTCATTTCGTCACACGGTCATCTCGACGTTACACCCCAATTATGAGTGACAAAATGACTTCGCTTATA